TGTGTGTTCAAAGATGCTGTTCTCCATCGCATCTATGATAACTCTTTGTTACACGAAAGCTGGCGTTTTTCATTTTTTTGTTTTTTGTTGACAAAATGCACTTCTCCCTTTCCACCAGGCGGCTCGGTTGCGTGAAGACATCCACAACATGGGCAGCTTGTACATGTCTGAAATCTGCACAGAGATGAAAAATCTTCGCTCTCTGGTCAGAGTGTGTGAAATCCAGGCCACACTGAGGGAGCAGAGGTGAGGCAAATGGCTACATTTGCATAGACTCACCTGTTAACACACATGCATTTTGATTTACATTTTCTTTTTTTCGCAACTGCAGAATCTTGTTTCTGAGGCAACAGAGCAAAGAGCTGGACAAGCTGAAGAACCAGAACTCCTACATGGTGTGAGGACCTGACCCGAGAGGAACAGGCTTGGATGGTCCGATTGAGACAATTAGAGAGGGAGGAATAGACACGGACAGCGAGCTGCTACAGTTTATTCCTCCTGCAAGAGCGACTGTTAGAAGTCAGTAACTGACAGTGAAGCTCCGTCATCCTGAACATGTCTTTTCTTTTTAATATATATATATATATTTTTTTTCTTTTCTCCATTGTCCACTACATAAATTGCTCAAACCGACTGTTCGCATGTCGGAACAGCTAAAAAAAAGTGGACAACGGGACCTTTTTTGGACAGCACCTTTTGGACCACGAATCTTGGATTGTGTGTGTTGTATTGGGTTAACTTGTTTTCTGGTGTGTTTTGATGTGTAGTGGTCAGGAAGAGAGTCAAAATGAACTAAGACAAACCCTCTTGTGATTGGTGTGACACTTCTGTGGGTGGGGGGGAGAGCGATCGGGTCCCCTTCCCAAACTTCTGAAATGAACTTTGTCATGCACTGCGATGTGTGGCTTCAGTGGCAGTGATGTTACTGTTATTTTTCTTTTTCTTTTTTCTTCACCAATCAGTGGGTTTGCCAACCCATTTTGTCTTAAAGCTGGTTTGTTTTACATGTCACGAGATTCACTGAGATCTTTGGCCAGACCGAAATGACAGATGTTTTTTGTCCCAAATGATGGGATTGTTCCATTGATGCAGAGTCACTTGGAAGACATGGCTAGTTGTGTAAAAAGCACTTTGAAAGCTGTTTTGATGAAGCTTATGTTATTGGACCTAGGTTGGCCACAAGTACATCTGAGGTTGTTTTCCATTGGTAGCCCTGCTGGCAGTTTTCTTCCTTCTTTTCTTTTTAAATTGTAAAATTGTCAATATTTTGTTTCTGTTCCAAGTCAAATTGGGGACATGTTCATTCCTTACAAGCAGCTTAGCAGGAGGTTGCATTAAAGAATAGAAAAGTGACTGAATTTACAGTCCCTTAAAGCTAAATTATTATTGTGCTGGAGTTATTACATCCTTGTAGTTGTAATGGAAAAGCTTGACGAAGGAAAATTTTTTTTTCTGTAAGAAACTCATGTTTTGGTTTTGTTTGTTGCTGCAGCCTTTTTATCGACTGACTCTAGACAGGTGTGGTTACTTTTTGCGAATGGTTCATTCGCAATGAGAGGGCATACTTTTATATGGCCATCAGATTAAAACTGCAGTCTTACACTCCAACAGTTTAAAAAAAAAGTTCCTTTGTTTCCTGGTTATTTTTTTTTTCTGTGACACGGAATAGTTCCCACAAGATCGGATGTGCACAATTTTTGGGGTTTCGGGGTGGGGTCAGATTTTTTGGGGGGGGCTTTGTATTCCATTAAATATGTGAATAAAATATTATGCCACACCCTTTGCTTGACTTTCACTGACATCTCAAGCATGCCAACAGAATATCTTCAGTATCACTTTGTAAGCAGTTAACAGACGATTGCCTGTTTGAGTACAGCTGCTGACCACCAGATGGTGACAGTGAGCAATGTTACCTTTAAACCTAATCCTGCCCATGTGATCGTTTCTTGCTGGAATCCGTCATGTTAAAAGAGAAGAGGACTTGGAAATTTTGAAATACCTGGCCTGTATTACGTTTCTGTTCCCATACCGGGGCCATATATCCATAGTACCCAGCCCTTAGATAACCTGCCACACTTTGCTTTCCCTTGCCAGGGGTGTTTCCACACTTAACAAATGGCAATTAAACTATGTTAACATTTGTATATTATAATTTAAAATAAAAAATATAACCTCAAAAATATTCATAAACCCTCTATTTACATTAAAGGCATGAAACTCTACAAATCCCAAATGACACCTAAAAACTCAGAACAGTGTCGCCCCACCAAACTTGCTGCTTGGTCTCTCCCAGAACCCTTAACTAGTAACCTTTAAGAGCTTCCTTTGTCTGAAGCTGGATTTTTGCTTCAAGAATTGAAACATTTCCATCGTGATCTTTGCTTGTGTTGTGTTCCCCATGCACACAGCTACCACATGCTCAGAAAACCAAAACCTAAAGAGTGTTTTCATGCTTTCACCAAGTATCTCATGCACTCTATATAGAGTATTGGGCCTTTCAGTCCCACTTCCAGAGGTGTCCAACTAGCCATGCAGTCTGCCTTTACAAACATTGGTAAGAAATGGGTCTTTTCAAAGAGCTCCGGTAATGTAATAGGATCCTTTAATTACAACAAATCAACTGGTGAGATGTCTTCCCTCTTAGATAATCTATGATCAGCTGTAAGTGGTGTCATTGCAAAGTGGAAGAGTTTAGGAACTATAGAAACTCAGCCACAAAGAGACAACCATGTAAAACTTCAGAGTGAGGTCACATGCTACACTCTGCTGACTCGATAACTGCAAAGCTGCAAAGCCCCTCCAGCATTAACATCAGCACACAAAAGCCGTGTGCTGGGGTTTCAAAGAATGGGTTTCCCTTATGGAGCAGCTCCTGTAGGTGTAATGTGTAGGTGACCCAGTACTTTTGTCCATGTAGTATAGTTCATATATAAAAAATCAGATTTATTTTCATTTAGAGACCAAAGCATTCACAGCAGCTATACGAGTGCAGATAAATCCAAATTATTCCTTTAATTATGTCTTCATCCTAATCTGATCATCAGCTTTACTGTTCAGATGTAGGAACACATTCTTATAGTTTCGCAGTGGTCAGCACTGGCCCCTTTGAGGTTTCCTATCTTTTTTATACACTCCTGGTCTGCTCATTGTGCATTCAGGATTTCCACTCGATTTCATTTATTACCATTTAGTCAGTACAAAGCTCGGCCTGCACCCGAGCCTTTTTCTAGCTGATACACCAGCAGCTAAATGTGCAGAGATCACCAAATTTATCTGCTGCACGGGTTCCATTTGTTCTCATATACTACATGCTGCTGTCAGCGCACAGAGGGCATTGCTCTCATTACCAGTGATGCAACATCTTTTTTTTTCTGTTACACTTAATCACAAGTTTATTAAACATGATTAAATATTGTTGTTTCAGTACATGGTCTATGGCTCAGAGTGGCTCGAGACGGAAATAAAGTTTTTTAAAATTTTAAATCTTACAGGGTCCATCCATCTCATTCAACTCTTCCAGGAGAACAAGACTGCAGTGTGTCTTGGTTGAAATAAATCCTGACCTGTGTGCCGTTTCATTGAGTTAGTAGTGAAGGCTGTGGCATCTAAACCACTGACTTCAAGTTACCATCATGGCTATTATAATGATCTGTTCCTCCCTCTTTTTCCCCTCATCACTGTTTGGTTCTTGCGTTTCTTTGTCAGTTATATGAACTCACCTCTCATACATTATTTAAGGATCACACTCCTGATTTTCATCTCCTCCTGGGACAGATTCTATGTTATAACTCACCCTTCCTTTCTCATCTTTGTTCAGTATCTTAATTTGTCCTAAGTTGGAAGCTTAATGACTAATCTGGGATTTGTTTGCTGCGCTGAGTAAACAGTGTGTGGACATGACCTCCCAACATGAACACATCTCATTTAAAGCAAAATTAAACCCGCGGTGATACCTTGATGGCAGCATTTTTTTATGGATCCTGCCCAAATGCCCATGATGGCAAACCTTTACCTCTGAACCTCCTGGTATTATACTGGTATTAGTTCTATTGTCATGCATCTTCCTTCTACTTTTCTAGTTTTTCCAGGAAAAACAGCCAGACATGGTAAGCCAACATCAACACCTGTTGATTGCAAACATCTTAATAAATTTACTATGAGAGGCTGTTCAAATGTCCTGCAGGAAAAAAACAGTTGTTGACCCACATGGACAACTGCCATACTTCACTAGAATGTACAAAACAACTCCAGTTTAGTAATTTATCAAAAAACACGTGTTTGCATCATACAACATGAAATCGATCAGGGATCTGAATGACAATGATTAATGGGATCATAAATTCATTAATGATCCGTAGGTGTAGACGTATCTGCACAAAGGCCAATTTTTAGCATCACTCCTATAAGTCTACAACACCTTCTGTTACCTAATGCGAAACTATGATAGTTAAAACTGGCTACGTTTGGATATGAGCAAAGCTCAGAACTGGTGATCAAAGAAGAAAAGACGTTTGGCTCGTTGGTTGTCTGAGGCATCGGCCTTGGTGGGTTGTCTGAAAATGCTGTCGAAAAAACAACTTCCTTTTGTATCTTTAAGAATTTTTGTCTCATTTCAGAACCCAGAGAAATAAAACCATAGTGGAAGTGGCTTAAACATGCATTTTACCTGTAGGCCACCAGATGGCGATAGCTGTTGGTGCAAAAAGACTTCCGGTCCTAGAAAAGTCTATGGGAGAACGGCTTTCTGTCTTGACCTCTGTAAACACTTTTCTAGTGAGTTAATGGACTCAGTCACTCATTCTGGCTCATATTGAATAAAAAAACTGAGTCACTTGGTGATTATATGTTTCAAAAAGCTGCTCATTGGCTAACGACTTGTCAATCATTAGTCATTAGACAATAAACAAGTGCTTTAAAAAAAATCCAAGATACAGTTAGGTGAATACTCATCTCGAGGCTTCAAAGCGACGCTTCAGGATGCTGGAATAACTCACTGGATTGAGGCAACCATAGATCGTAAGGTTGTCGCAAAGGCATGGGTTGGAATCGGGTGTCCCACAACTTTGGATGTCATCACAGCAGCCACAGCAATATTTTACGTGGTCTATGTTATGTCGTTGTTTGGATGAATTATTATAAATAATCTCAGAAATCATTTTTTGATTAAAAAGATGGCTTTTAAAGCAAACACGCACTTTTCTAAATGACCTACAACATTTGTCAGGGTTTCTCTAGTTCGGCCTCTATAAAGGAACCTCTATGCTTTGATCTTCTTCTGCTGGCTCTTCAATTAACTGCGCATCCTCCTCTGCTTTCAAAGTCACTTCCATTGTTTCATCTTCCTGGGTTATACTTGTCTTTGTAGTAGCAACAACATCATTTTTTTTCAGTTTAATTACAGTACAATGGTCTGATCACGAGATTGTTGCTTTTTTCCCCCCATTTTATTGTATTTTGTGTGTGTATAACATGCTACTGAGGCAGGAAAGCGCAGTCTCTTTTTATTTTTCACCTTTGTTGAAACTTGTTGACTTATACTGTAATTGTATATTACACGGATGAACTGTTTTTACACTGTCAGCAGCAATTTAAAGTTTTGCCAGCGGTACTCTTGACAAGATATTGTCCTTTTTGCCCATGAGGCAGCTTAGAAACATTGCGCTTTATATCACTTCTATAACCCAGGTAGGCTTGATGGCTCTCACCGCACACAACCAGTATGTCCCCACACTATGTCATTGATAGATCGAGTCACTGCTGCCTTCGATCCTTTAGTATTCACTTCATACAGTGCAGGTTAAAGATCATCTTCATACTCTCACCTTCTCTGCGGTAAGTTTGTTCTCTCCGGGGTATTTTTGTAGCATCTTCTCCTCACGCGCTTCACTTCAATCAGCGGCCCATCAGTCAGGGTGATTTTTTAAGACTCTCTGCAGTCCCTGTGTCCTAGCCCCCTTTCACCAGCACCGTCCTTAGGGGACATGGGTAATTGTCATGATTACCTGTCATACTATATTTATTGCTGTCACACATTTATTGATGGGTCCCCCTGATCCAAGTGAGCCAGATGCAGGCTCTGTCATTAGCCCTGTTTCTCTGTTTATAGCCCTTTCCCTCCAATCTTCAGTTAACCCTGTTCTCTCACACCCCCAGCATTACACCCAACCCCTCCTCTTCTTATCTCACCCCCTGACATTATTCCTCATTTCGCTCATTTTTTTCCTTTTTTTTGCAGTCACCCACACCCTCTCTCCATCTGTCCTTGTCATCCTCCCCACACTTCCGCTGGCCACTTCCCCCCCCCCCACACACACACACCATCATTGACTACTTAGTGCTCCTCTCCCATCGTCACAGCCAGAGGGCTTTCACTAAAGTCACCGATCTCGCCTCAAACCGAACCTAGCATCGGGGGGTGGGGGATGTCGGCTTTGGTCGACTTTGTAAAACTTTTGATAAATGAGAGAGCTAGCCAGGGCCTTGTAAAGTCGACGTTATTTAGAATGTCATTGAGGCCTGTGAGTTGAGACTGGGACATGCAACATTAGGGAGGTGACTAAATGTGCCTTGAGCATCTTGGTGAACACTGCATGTTTGACTGTCATTTCTACATTATAATGGAAACCGTCGTGGATTGATGGGCTCGAGGTGGGGGCTGGAAGTCCTTTTGTCAAACAGTGCCATTGTGAGCAATAAATTAAATCTTGTGATTTAATATTATAGGCCCTCTGGGAGCATGTAATCCACATTAGCTATGATATATAACTGAGG